AACTTTCTGCACGAGAGCCATGTCGGACAACATGACATGCGCGGAGCCTACATGCATGGGTACCGGGGAGTGAGAGCAGGCAGCCGAGAGGAGGGAAGGATGTGCGAGACCGATTTGTCACCCGCCCTCTTCCTGCTTTTCTGCACCTTTCATCTCCATCCCACACTGTCCCTTCGTAGTTATGTCTGACCATAAGCTATCTGCGCTCGGAAAACGTTCTCGAACTGTGTTCGACCGATTCTGAAAAAAGGATAGAAAACCTTTATTGATACATGAACGTCTCGCGATAGAAAACGAGCGTAGTATTATCATCGGGTGTCCTATTGATGATACGGCCTCCTAATGTGATACAAAATTTTGCATATATCTATGAATCAATTGCAGCTTGGAGCCTAAGCCCGCCACAATCTTGGATATAACAGTAAAAGTGTTCCGATTGCGCCAAATGTGACCATTTGAATGGCTTTTTCGCGGCATTTAACATCAGGTACAGACTACAGCCAGTCTCGTGATAAAACTGGAACGACCATTATGCTCCTCTGCCAGCCATCCCCCCTGCCAATATCCTCAAGTAACCGCATCATTCACATTATCAGAATCGGGCATTCCGCATCGAGTTCGCATCCAGACGGATGCGAAAGAGGCACGACGGATTCAAAGGGAGAAAAATGCAGCTGAGAAGGCCGCTGGAAAAGCACAAGAGCGATTCGAGGAGGAGGAGAGTCGGAGGTTGCGCGCTGGGCGTCTAGAACGAAAGAGGACGCTGCGCGACAACCGAGACACCCGTAGGGCAGGGCAATTGCCAGGTTACGTGCGCAGAGTACCTTACCGGCTCCTCTTCACAAATAAAGCATTTCAGATTTTTTCACAGCAATGTTGTTTCAGTATTTGGCACATATAGGGTGATTGGGAGGCTTTTAACGCTTACGGTTTTCTGCGAATTGGTATGCCGCTGAGAAGCCCCATCGGGTCATAGTTTATGAGCGTGATGCGACAGTTGAGCGCTTTCGTTTGACGTCGGTACGGGGATGAATGGTGAGATACCTTCGAAAATATCTTAAAAAGAGTATTTTGTTTCATAATTGGGGGGGGACTGATACCGCATAGTGGTCCATCGTCGATACAGGTATACTACTCCTAAATGATGCCACTCTCTCTTTGCAATTTAAACAGAAATGACTGTACCTCATGCACTTCTCCATTACATTTCAACTCTGAACGTTTCAATGGCTCTCTTGTTCGCAATGGCGAGCAATCGCAATACAACAGCGTATTGAACGGTGTTCAATGGAGGAAACACAACAAAAAATCAATTTTGCAGAGCCACTTTAATATAGCATACAACTCGTCAGTATCAAGAATGTAGACATCCCTAACCTCTTGTCAACATCATGTTAACCATTCTATACACACCATACTGTACCTAAACTTAAAAACGGAGAGCTACAGAAAAATAAAAAGCTTTCAACAAAAAAGTATGTTGGGCACCCCTGAGTCTGTTCCGACCCCTATCGTGCAGTTGCGACCTCCACCTGGTTTCGAACCCACTGACTCAGGGTCAGCGGTTTATATGACCCAGCACGTCATAACCACTGAGCTGAGATGCCTCTACGCTGTGGACAAAGTCTGATTCCGAATGATATTTAAAGTCGTACCATCACTTCCAGATTGGAAGGAATAAAGAGAGATTACTTGTGCGAGATACTTTTTTGAAATGCATTTGAGAGAAAAGTGATATTGGCACTGTTTGCAATTTAATCATGGGGTTGAAAAATCAGAGTAGATGTAGATTACTGACAAATTGCGATCTTTGGCTGATGTCGTAGTGATCAATGAGCTCAGCCGAGATCTCGTTTTCTCTCTCGTTTTCTTTTTACTCTAAATGACTTTAATCAATAATGGAAAGATTTCTTCTCCACTTGAAAAGGGGATTTGGTTGCGTTATCCATGAAACCCTGTTTCTTCGATATGTTCCAAAGCAAAGCGAAAAATGTACAAAAAAGCTCAAACCTTGAAGTTTAAGGGATTCTTCGTCTTTGCACATGTTTATAAACTTCTTTCTCATTGCTAGTCAATGTGAAAATTATCGAATTCCATTTGTTAACAGTGGACGCCAAAAGACAATCTTAAATAACGAATTCATATATGTAGCTTTTCCAAAAAGAATCGGGCTCCAAGAAGAAACACTATTGTCCTCCAGACCCTAGCTGGTCCGCAGCCATCTCTTTCTTACTGCATTTTAAGGAACAATCAGACCCAGAAACAAATAGGAAAAGCCATTCCGGGAGTTTTTTCTCTAGGTGGTGATCAAAAGTACCGCTGTTTTGAGGGTCGAGAATCCTGTTCAAGTGCCTTTAGCATACCGAGTGCCTCACGATTTCAGGCTGAGCAAAATTGTTCATACATGTGGTAGCGAATTCAAAGTTTGCAAAAAAGCTAGAAACAGAGGATGGAAAGCTTTCTCGGTTTGATGGTTGCGTTAGGCAACTCAAAAACTGAACCAACAATTCGCTCAATGGGAGGACAAATGTGTGATGTGAGAAACGTCAACGATATGTAGCTTTGACGCAGGTTTATGGTACTGAGTTACTCTCGTGATGCGCAGGAACTCCAAACTAGGCACTGGGGGAGCTACTGTATAGCATCAACTACTCGCGTCCATAAGGGATGCCAAGAATGTATAGTATTGTACATGAGTGTGAAAACATACACATCGGGGCCTTGCCAGAATTCCTTTTGTGTTGCATCCTACATGACCTTGACATTCGGGAAGCATGTCCAGGAAACGTGTATCGTATTGGTTGAGTAAGCAACAGTTTCCAAGACATCTGACACGAGTGCTTCGGGATGACAGTTTTGCATCGCTATGTTTTGGTAGAACCATTCCGTAGAGAGACAAGAGTCTATCTCTGGATGCCACAAAACGACATGTGTGATACGGTAGACGCGGACTGCTGCCGGGCTTCATACAGAAAACTGCACAACAGCTTACGTAGCACAGTATATATGTTCTGTACAGATGGAGGCGCGTCATGGGAGTGACGTTTCGCAGTACTGTGATTTGATTCGTCGGCCATTTGCAATCTGGGCTCATCTCAGACCACCTATTGGACATGTCCCTACGCCGTAAAAAGCTTCCCGCAAGAATCTATGATTCAATCCGGACGAAGAAACGTCTTGTGGCCATCCCTCTTGTGTCGCGCGATAGCACGCAGAAGCATGTTATGTGTGTGTTGTACCGTATGGTCAAGCCTATTGACTTGTGTCGCTGTGCTCTCGAGTGACATCGCATGTTATGTGTGTGTTATACGGTATGGCCAAGCCTACTGACCTGTGTCGCTGTGCTCTCGAGTGACCGTCGTTAGTCCTTCTGCACTTGACCCACGGGGCATCCACTTGTGCTGCTTCATGGGGGCTCTATCGCGGTACTACTGGACTACAAAACTTCTTGCTATATATTAGGTAACACAGCTTTCTACACACTGCAGGCACACCCATGTCTCATTTCCTGGACAAATTCAAACGCGATGTACGCGAGAATTCTGCACCACTACCGCAGAAATCGAGTACCGCAGAAGTTGTTCGGGACGGCCCAGGCCTGCTTCTGCAGCGGGTCATTCTCATCGAAGCATTACTAAAAAGCAATTATAGCTCCTCAGTGAAAACCATGGTCCAAGGAGGTCCCAAGTCTGTCCAAGTAGTATAAACGTAGTCCCTGCGCAGCGTCAGACACCCCCTTCGAGTCATCAAGGCAACAAAACAACTCAACATGATTCCATATTCACATCACAACCTTCTTTCTACACCTCCCCTGCCGCCATTCCCAAGTGTCGCGTGACGCCAAGTTTCACTTAAACTTCAATTCTGCTGACAAGCGCTCCGGCGCCTCTCGCGTCGCTCTCCAGCGGACGCGTCAGCGTGTCCCCGGGAACGCTGGGCGGACACACTTGGGGCTGCGGATTGTAAAGTTGATCCATCACACGCTTAGCGACTTGCAGCGGCGCGGCGACACGGGGATGGCCGTTATGCTCAGGCTTTGTGAAGCGCTCCACACGGCGAGAACCGTGGATGAGCAGGCCGTGTTCCTGAGGTGCGGGGCCTTGTCCGTCGGTGAGGCACCGATGAGGCACGCGAATGTGGGGCGGTTTTGCGAGATGCTCAGACCGCACGTATTCGCGTTGTTAGAGTCGTCTGGATACCCACCGCACCTGCTGGCGCCGATCCCTTTCGATTATGTGGCGCATAACAACAAGCCGAAGCTGTAGGAGAAAGGGGTCAGCGAGAAGCGTGCACCGTACCGTCGCGTTAGTAGGATTGTCAAGCGCCTCTCTCAGGCACACAGAATGAGCCCTACCTTGATCCAGGCGTCACCTGGAACGCCGGGTAAGATGAAAAAGGAAAAACCAAGCGCGGGAAGCACAACGGGCTCGGTGATCACTTCAAAAAAATGCGCTGCCCGAAGAGGGTGACATCAAGCATAGCGCCGACGTTGGCGAACATGCTGACGCACTGCTCGACATCATCCCTCTGAGCGACAAAGCGAACAATCGGAATGCGTCCATGCCCCCCGCCCGCGACCTCCGCGGCGAGGCGGTCGATGACGTCGTCCGGCAAGAGCGACGTGACTTGCGGGCTGACGGCATGCTGCCTCATCTCGAGTTCACGCAAATCGTGGATGTCCGTTGCAGCACAGCCTTTAAAAAATGCGGCGACGGCGGCGTAGTTTCTCCATCGCGGGTTGGATGTAGATTTAAAGATGAGATGCAAGGAGCGGAGGTGCGAGACGACGGAAGGAAGGGCCTTTGCGGCCTGCTTCCAGGCGCGGGCGTCGAGGCATCCGAGGCGGAGCTCCTGGAGACGGGCGGCGGTGTGCAGATGTGCGAAGACGGGGCCAGGTTTGCCGACGCGCAGGAAGTCCAGAGAGGCGAGGGGTACTGCTTGGGAATGGGCCCGGTTTCCTCGAAGGTGAGGGCGCGCAGGTGCGGGCTGTGCAGGGTAAGGGCGTGCAGTATGGGGGCCGGCGAGACTGGGCCGAATAAGCCGAACTCCTTGAGGTGTGGACCGGCCAAACGGACGATAGCAATGAGGTGCGATGCCAAGGTTGTGATGATGAAGACATCGGTTTCGTCACGGGGGAAGTAGCACTCGAGGGTTCGGAGGGTGCGGCGATAGACGGCGAGGAGACGGGTGCAGGTGAGAGCGGCGGGGAAGGCAAGTGGGGCCTGGGGTGAGACGAAATCGGGCTGGGGGAAGTGGCACAGGATGCGGAAGAGAAGTTCGTCGGGAAGGTCAAGCAGCTTGGTGGGCCTCATGGTGCGTGAGTGAGCGAGATGGTGGGAGCGGAAAGGAAGAGGGGTCGGGCATTTGTGACATGTCAAGCCTTCGGACTGGGATTCGAGTATTACACGTGGTCGCATATATCTTTGTGGTCGACGTGAGTGAAATGCACTTGTGGTACACGTACTGCAACATACCCAGGTGTAATGAAAAGTGTAAGCGAGGGTAGGATCCCGCTTTCGATTGTGACGTCACGCGTAGCAATGTCCAGCATTTCATCTTGCCCCTCACATCGGTCATCGCCCCCGTTTCTCCGACGAGCTCCTGGGAGCTCGTCAGTTGGGACCAACTCACGAGCGACAGCCGGCTCCATCGCGCTGGGACGACTCCAATAAGCAGGCCTTTCCATGGCTTAGCATGGTCATCACGACCAATGTGAATGGAGGCGAAGGGGGGAGATGAGTGTGAGGTCCTTATGGAAATTAGGCTGCCACTCGGTTGCCATGTGGTACTCCGAAGTGAACCGAGACCAGTGTCAGATAATACACGGGGGCTCTACATTGCGTGGAATTCTATACTGCTGAAGTTCATCAAGATCAAATATTTCTCATTCTCTGTTATACCAGATCGATTCAAGACTCGTCTTGTGTCGATGGCCCTGCTGTATTTGCATGTGCAGCACAGCAGCTCTTTGGGACTCGGGTTTATCTCATGTGTTAGCCAAGTGCCTTGTTGATTGTTTGAAGAATTCCTGTTTAAACTAATGCATCTCCTTTCGAAAATGTTGTGGGATTGTGATAATCCATAAAAACAGAAATACTACACAGAACCCTCTTGATACATCCAAAGCCACCGTTAGAAAATGTATATGGTATCATCCAGCAGTCGATCTTCACAACTCATACGCCACTCCCAAAGACTTTCATAATCTTTGATTACATAAAAAAAGAAATGATTGTACCGCATGCGTTTCTCTTTTATGTTTAATGCATGATGTGATCATTTCAAAGGCCATATATGAACAGTTGTAATAAAAGACCAAATTCAACGGTACTCAATGGAAGAACAAACCAATACATCAGTCAATGGAAGAACAAACCAATACATCAGTCTATGTATATTTCTATCTTTCCTTACAGGCAAAAAGTTTGTATGAAGATTCCTTACATCTCATCGACGTAATTTGAACCGTTCTATGCACACAATACTGCACCAACTCTGAGAAGAGAGCTTGCAAAAAATAATAAAAAGTGTTTGAAACAAAAAATATGGTGGGCATCCCTGAATCGCCCGATTCTAACCTGCGGTTGCGACCCGCCACCTAGAATCGAACCCACTGACTCAGGGTCAGTGGTTTATATGACCCAGCACGCCATAACCACTGAGCTGAGATGCCTCTACGCTGTGGACAATGTCTGATTGCGAATGATATTTAAAGTGGCACCATCACTTCCAAATGGGAGAGAATAAAGAGAGATTACTTGTGCGAGATACTTTTTTTGAAATGCATTTGAGAGAAAAGTGATATTGGCACTGGTTGCAATTTAATCATGAAGTTAAAACATCAAAGTTGATAAATATTACTGACAAAATGGCGATCTAATGTCTTGGTGATCAATGAGCTCAGCTGGGATAACTTTTCCGACTTCCTTTTTCTCCAATAGAATTTTTCTCAACAATAGAAAGAGATCATCTCAACTGAAAATCGAGTTTTGCTGCGTTATCCAGGGCAAGTGTGTTTCTTTGATATATTCGAAAGCAAACGCAAAGTTTAGAAACAAAGCTCGAAATTTGAAATTTATTGAGTTCTTTGTCTTTGAAGACGTTCAGAGCTTCTCTCCCGCTGCTCTCCAAGATTTTTGTTGTCAAAGGAAATAGTTTCAAAGTCGACCTCAAATCGATAATCTATAATAAGAAATTAGGTTGCGTGCTTTTCCCCCAACATGCCGGCCTCAAGGAGGAAGAAGGAATGTCCTCTAGACATTTCTTGGTCCGGCATCTCTCCCTTGACGCATTTCAAAGTAGCAATCAGTCCGGGAAATATATAGGAAAATTCATGTCGATGCCGCCGATGTTTTACTCAGGGGTGAGCAACAGTACTGCTCTTCTCAGAGTCGAGATTCGTGTTCTACCTGTAACATGTAGAAAGCTCGCGTGATCTTGAGATCACGCGAGCTTTCTACATAGATCTTGAGAGCACGCGAGCTTTCTACATGCCTGAGATCAGGCACTCTCATCGCAACATAGCCGTGTACCTCATTCTTCTTGGACACAGAAACCTGTCCTAGATCTGTGGGTGAAAACGTGTAACACAGTGGCTCAAAACTGAAACATCCCTCAGTCGTTAGAAATGACAGCATCTCGTTGGTAGACATTCATCACAGTTTAGAAAATCATTTCATCGCTGACTACAGAAACATCATTTTTGAGTCTCCATATGCCACGAGCATGGCAACAGCGTGATGTATGGCGTGCAGGGACTGTTGCTCTTTCATTAAAATAACAGCACGGCAGGGAAAAATGGTTTGAGAACAGTTACCGTTATGACATACATGAGTCGTGGGGAGCGGGAATGACGTTTCGCAGTAGTGCAAATTCATTCGTCGACAAAGGACACATCTGGGCTCATCTCACGACTTCCATTGGATGTGCCCCGCACCGTGAAAAGCATCCAAAACATAACTTCGATTCAACACAAACGAAGAAAAATCTGTCGGAAATTTCAGGTGAGGCTACCTCTTGCTGGCCGTATCAGTTGATTGCACATAGCCAAGCCCTTGGGCATGAATGGCCATGCTATTTGGTTCACCCCCCTTT